AACGATTACTCACAAAGTTGAAACTTTGTTCAGAGACCTCTATTTGGTCAATGTGCCTTCTGAAACACATTTCCCACAAGAGCCAGTGGAACATCCCCATTCTTTGCATTTCAAAATAATATCTTTGCTTGCATTTATTCCAGTGGACGTGCTTGAACATAACCCTGACATAAGCTCTTCTGAAGCCATGGCTGTCACTCAGGGCGCCCCCTGCTGGTGACCCATCTCCAAACTTTAAATCATGTCTTTGTAACTTCCTGTGGAGAACCTCCAACTGGCAGCTATAAGCCTAAATCCACACTCTCCCCGACACACTCTATCAAGGGAGGGCAGGGGTACATTTCACTGATGACTTCATTACTTTTCAAATGTATGCACAATAACTAAATATTGAATCGGTTTTATATAGCTGGCTCTTGGGACGTGGAACGTCACCTCACTGGGGGGGAAGGAGCCCGAGCTTGTGGGGGAGGTTGAGCGATACCGACTAGAGATAGTCGGCCTCACCTCCACACACAGCTTGGGCTCTGGAACCCAACTCCTTGAGAGGGGTTGGACGCTCCACTTTTCTGGTGTTTCCCGCGGGGAGAGGCGGCGAGCTGGGGTGGCCATTCTCATTGCCCCCCATCTCAGCCGCCACGTGTTGGAGTTCTCCCCGGTGAATGAGAGGGTCGCGTCCCTCCGCCTCCGGGTGGGGGACAAGTCTCTCACTGTTGTGACGGCCTACGGGCCTAACAGCAGTGCAGAGTACCCGGCCTTCTTGGAGTCCTTGGGAGGGGTACTGGACGGTGCACCGTTATTCTCCTGGGGGACTTCAACGCCCATGTGGGAAACGCCAGTGACACTTGGAGAGGGGTGATCGGGAAGAGCGGCCCCCCTGATCTGAACCCGAGCGGTGTTCAGTTGTTGGACTTCTGTGCCAGTCACAGTTTGTCCATCACGAACACCATGTTCGAGCACAAGGGTGTCCACCAGTGCACGTGGCACCAGGACACCCTAGGCCGGAGGTCGATGATCGACTTTGTTGTCGTATCATCTGACCTTCGACCGCGTGTCTCGGACACTCGGGTAAAGAGAGGGGCGGAGCTGTCAACCGATCATCACCTGGTCGTGAGTTGGATCCGCTGGCAGGGGAAGAAGCCGGTCAGACCTGGCAGAGCCAAGCGTATAGTGAGGGTCTGCTGGGAACGTCTCGCGGAGCCCCCTGTCAGACGGACTTTCAACTCACACCTCCGGGAGAGTTTCTCCCAGGTCCCGGTGGAGGAGGGGGACATGGAGTCCGAGTGGACCATGTTCTCTGCCTCAATCACCGATGCGGCGGCTCGTAGCTGTGGTCGCAAGGTCTCTGGTGCTGGTCCCGGCGGCAACCCCCGAACCCGGTGGTGGACACCGGCAGTAAGGGATGCTGTTAGGCTGAAGAAGGAGTCCTATCGAGCCATGATGGTTCGGGGGACTCCTGAGGCAGCTGTCCAGTACCGGCAGGCCAAGCGTGCCGCGGCCCGGGCTGTTGCAGAGGCAAAAACCCGGGACTGGGAGGAGTTCGGAGAGTCCATGGAGCATGACTATCGGTCGGCCTCAAAGAAATTCTGGCAAACCGTCCGGCGCCTCAGGAGGGGGAAGCAGTTCTTTGCCAACACCATGTACGGTGCGGGTGGAGAGCTGCTGACCTCGACGAGGGATATTGTCGGGCGGTGGAAGGAATACTTTGAGGTTCTCCTCAATCCCCCCGTCACGTCCTCTGTTTCAGAGGCAGAGGCTGAGGATGTTGGGGCGGATACATCCATCTCCCTGGCTGAGGTCACCAAGGTGGTTGGTAGCCTCCATGGTGGCAAGGCTCCGGGTGTGGATGAGATCCGCCCTGATTATCTAAAGTCTCTGGATGTTGTAGGACTGTCTTGGCTGACACGTCTCTGCAACATCGCGTGGCGATCGGGGGCGGTGCCAATGGAGTGGCAGACCGGGGTGGTGGTCCCTCTCTACAAGAAGGGGGACCGGAGGGTGTGTTCCAATTATCGTGGGATCACACTCCTCAGCCTCCCCGGTAAGGTCTACTCCAAGGTACTGGAGAGGAGGCTACGGCCGATGGTCGAATCTCGGATCCAGGAGGAGCAGTGTGGTTTTCGTCCCGGTCGCGGAACACTGGACCAGCTCTATACTCTCCATCGGATACTCGAGGGTTCATGGGAGTTCGCCCAACCTGTCCACATGTGCTTTGTGGATTTGGAGAAGGCGTTCGACTGTGTTCCCCGGGGTGTCCTTTGGGGGGTTCTCCGGGAGTACGGGGTCGGGGGTCCTCTGCTGAGGGCCATCCGGTCCCTGTATGACCAGAGCCAGAGCTGTGTTCGCATTGCCGGAAGTAAGTCAGACCTGTTCCCGGTGAATGTTGGCCTCCGACAGGGCTGCCCTTTGTCACCGGTTCTGTTCACTGTATTTATGGACAGAATATCTAGGCGCAGCCAGGGGTCGGAGGGGGTCCGGTTCGGGGACCACAGGATTTCATCTCTGCTGCTTGCGGACGATGTTGTCCTGTTGGCTCCAACGAACCAGGACCTGCAGCATGCACTGGGACGGTTTGCAGCCGAGTGTGAAGCGGCTGGGATGAGAATCAGCACCTCCAAATCTGAGGCCATGGTGCTCGACCGGAAAAAGGTGCCCTGCCCTCTTCAGGTGGGTGGAGAGGTCCTTCCTCAAGTGGAGGAGTTCAAGTATCTCGGGGTCTTGTTCACGAGTGAGGGAAGAATGGAGCGTGAGATTGACAGGCGGATTGGTGCAGCGTGCGCAGTGATGCGGTCGCTGTATCGGACCGTTGTGGTAAAGAGGGAGCTGAGCCGAAAGGCAAAGCTCTCGATTTACCGGTCAATCTTCGTTCCCTCCCTCACCTATGGTCATGAGCTTTGGGTAATGACCGAAAGAACGAGATCGCGGATACAAGCGGTCGAAATGAGCTTCCTCCGCAGAGTGGCTGGGCGCTCCCTTAGAGATAGGGTGAGGAGCTCAGTCACACGGGAGGAGCTCGGAGTAGAGCCGCTGCTTCTCCACGTCGAGAGGAACCAGTTGAGGTGGCTCGGGCATCTGTTCCGGATGCCTCCTGGACGCCTCCCTGGGGAGGTGTTCCGGGCACGTCCCACCGGGAGGAGGCCCCGCGGAAGACCTAGGACACGCTGGAGAGACTATGTCTCTCAGCTGGCCTGGGAACGCCTTGGGGTCCCCCCGGACGAGCTGGAGGAAGTGTGTGTGGATAGGGAAGTCTGGGCGTCTCTGCTTAGACTGCTGCCCCCGCGACCCGGCAACGGATAAAGCGGAAGAAAATGGATGGATGGATGGGTTTTATATAGCACTTTTTGGACACTCAAAAAAAGTGCCATGTCATTATTCTCATACAATGATGACAAGCTGCTAAGTAATCTAAGTAAGTAAGTAAGTAATCTTTATTTATATACACCGCCTTTCACAGACCAGAGTCACAAAGCGGTTTACAATTGTTATTTTTGGGCACCTCTCACTCCACACAGACATGGGAGTGGGGTCGCCAAACAGGAGGCGCATGCCAGAACTATTGTAGAAATCCTTTGTAGAAAACTGCAATTCTAAGTTTTCTAGACCTTTCCATACCTTGGTGGACACACAATGGACATAAAAAAAAATCACTAGCAATTTCAATGCCTCACCATTTTTAAAAAGCAAACATCTTTTGATAACCCACCAGTCAAAACTCATTGTGCATTCAACTGCAGCTTTCAGTGTTACAACAAGCCAATAAATCACAGCAGCCGAGCATGAGAACACGAAACACCTGCAATGCAGCTTTTAACACATTTCACGATGTTGCCCATGATCCCAGAGGTTTACTCTTCAGGTGTTTTGCTCAATCATAATTTCAGTGTTTCATGTTTAAAATCCCTGCACAAATATCTCAAATGTGACATTGCACCATAGATACAAAACTGTTTTTAATGCCTCATACATACAAAACTGCTTTTAATGCCTCGTAGATACAAAACTGTTTTTAATGCCTCATACATACAAAACTGTGCCCCACATGCTTTTTTATCCACATCTTCTGTAAATGTCTGCTTGATGCACCAGACTCCCAACCATTATCTATTTTATTTTTTATATTTGACTTGATGCTTTAATGTGGTTCGTGCAGTGCTGTTCACCCCTTGTCCCTCTCTTTGTTCCATTAACGTGTGGGGGGGACTCAAAACCCTGGACCTGAGGACTGTATCCCAGCCTGAATCCTTGGACTCCCTGAACCTGGACCTCCCGTTGGGAGTTGTGTGACGCCTCTCGAGACGACTGTAAGATAGATAGATAGATCGATACTCTATTGATCCTCCGTAGGGAGACATTCAGGTGTCCAGCAGCAGAAAACACATCCATATAAACACATAAAACATCACTTTTGTATTGTAAATGTCTCCAGTGTGAGATCAATAAAGTCCATCTTTTCTTATGTCATCAATTATACAAATTTCTAACAAACAAACATTTCTAATTACATAACAATTGTGGATTTTTCTATTTCTAAAACGTTCCGTTCGGCAGCGCAGTGATAGGAGCCTGTTTCTACAATACTCCTCTGAGCGGCCAATGTGTCATGCAGAGGGTATCTGGAGTTACCCAGAATGCCCTGCATTAGAGCCCTCATCCTTCTCTCCAGCACAGCTCCCACAGAGTCCTCGCTTCTCCCCATCACAGAGATTTCACAGAGACATTTCCTGATCAGCCTGTCGAGGTTGTTGTGGTTTCGAGCAATGCAGATAAATGTATTTGATTTGAAATTGATTGGACAGTCTTATTCAATACAAAACCAAATGTGAATAAGAAGTTGACAACAACGGGGCATGTGTTTGGTTGCAATAACAGTTAGCATCATCTCTTCTGTCAACGTGGAGAAAAACTTGGTTTGGAAAGTCTTATCTATGTCACTTCTCACGTTTGATTTGATGAATGATGAACTGTTTTGCACAAATGTATGAATTTCATAAATAGAACAAATGAAAGTCATAACTCACTGCCAAACTACCTCTCCATCTCTGAATCTGCCTCGTAATAACAGCCATCGTGGTGTGTCCAAACCTCTTCCGCTCGGTGCATCTCTGCAGCCAGTGGCTCCTTCTATTACACTAATAAGGCTAATCACCCCGCGGGCTGACGAACGTGTCAGTGTGCGGAGATCAATGGGGAACATCAAAGAGACGGCGCCGTGCACAAACCGGGCGCGCTCCGATAAAGCCGAGGCGCAGCAGCTCTACATTTTTCATGAGATTATCCAGCACTGTTCTCCTCTGCTTCTGCCTGTGGACGGAGAGCCGGCTGAGGCTAATGAGCCGCGATGTGAAGATCCAGCTGCAGATGTCATGTGAGGGAGACGCAGGTACAGGCAGGGACGGGTAGCACAAAGGGACAGGTACACACAGGGACAGGTAACACAAAGGGATAAAGGTAAAGGTGCACTTTATTGATTCCAGTAGGGCAATTCATCCTCTGCATTTGACCCATCCTGATGCCGCGAAGGCTTACGTCAAGAGCAGTGGTCCCCGTAGTACAGCGCCCGGGAACCCATCTCCAGATGTTGATGCTCGGCTTGTTCAAGACTACCTGAGCTAGAGGATTTAATCTAGTGCTCATGTTTTTAGAGGTAGGGGAAACCGGAGTACCCGGAGGAAACCTACGCAAGCACGGGGAGAACATGCAAACTCCACTCAGAAAGACCCTGTTCCAACCGGGATTCGAACCCAGGATCTTCTTGCTGAGAAGCGAGAGTGCTATCCACTCAGCCACCGTGCCGCCCTATAGGACAGGTACACACAGGGACAGGTAGCACAAAGGGACAGGTACACACAGGGACCGACAGGTACACATAGGGAGAGGTACAGACAGGGACAGGTACTACAAAGGGACAGGTAAGGACAGAGACCAATACCGACAGGGACAGTTGTCATGTTGTAGCAGAGTTTGACTGGAAAGATCTAAAAAAAGTAAGGGTCAGAGAGACTTTGTGCGTATGTGTACATGTGTGTATATGTGTGTATGTCTATGTGTACGTGTACATGTGTGTGTTTATGATATTGTATTGTGTCCTTCGGCTGTTTTTGAACCATTTTGCTACACAAACATATACGTTATACTGTATGTCTGTGTAGAATGAGAGGAAGTGGATAGTAGTGACCGCTTTTCAAAACATGAAAAAAACAAATGGTTGTGATTTTGTTTGTTAAAATTGGTTTGCAAATGCTTTAAAATAAACATATTTATTGATTGATTGATATTGGCATAATTCAATCACTGTTCTTCTGTGCTACAAAATCAAATCCTAGAAATACTTTCCACCTGCAACAAAACCAATCCATTCTTATTTAAGTCCACAGCAGTTTTCTAAAAGGACTGACCTTCCCTCAGAAGAGTATGATTATGGATCTGTCCAATTTCCCCTTTGCATTGTCTTTATTAAAACAAATGGGGGGCAGTCTTCATCACTAATACACAAAGTGTCTTGAAGTCCTGGCCTTTGCGATCACAATGCACCTTTAAACATGGTCACAACACAGCAGTGAAGAGTAAATACATATATGTTTCCAAGAGTGTGACAAATACGCGTCGCATCCAATTATGAACGGAAAAGGAAAAATACAGTGATCAAAACTATAAACGTTATTGCACCGTTTGCTTGTTTCTGTGGATATTTCAAGATTAAAATGAAAAGATCCCACTGTGGGGAAATTCCAGTATTATTATTACTTTATCATTGATTCCACATGATTGTAAATGATAACCTATATTCCAGAGTCTCCCAAACTTTTTGCGCCGTGGCAAGTATTTTTTATTGACAAAACTCACATGACACACCACCTGAAACTGATGAAATAAGTAACCCTGGAAAGGTATTCCCATTAAATGTCATTGAGTGTTATTATTATCATTGTATTGTTAATGAAAAACTATCCAACAAGGGCAAAAACGTCTTTCTTATCCCCTCACATTATATTCTTAGGCACGCCAAACAACATCTCTCTCTAATGTACCACGGCACTCTGGTACATTAGTGAGAGTTGAAAAACACTGCAATATCCCACATTTGCGTCATTCTGAGAAGAAAAAAAAAATTTGTATAACAAATATGGCTTAGTCTTACCACACCACCGTACGAATTTAATTTTGTACCAAAGGTCTGGATTTTCTTCATTAAGCTCCGTTCACAGGTGGGAGGGGTTAACTCCTTTTGCAAATTGAAACAATTGGATCAGAATTTACGTATCTGGTGGTAATGTATGTAATGCGCCCGAGTGAGAGAGGCATTTAGCAATTAGCCTAGCTTCTCCTCTGCCACGAACAGAGCCTGTGGGAAGTAGAGCCAGCAATTAAATTTGTTAAACATTCCTCTTACTACGATCTGAACCAGAACGGATCACTTTACTCGTCGCATTTGTCGCCATTGCCAAACTTGAACCACCAAATTCAGCGCAAGTTCTTGACGTCACCGACACCTACCTACAACACCCGCCTCCCCCGCTCTCTGATTGGTCGGATGGGATACAACTGAGATAACCGCAGCCACTAGGATCAGACTCAGACGCACATGTAGGGAAATGATAATTGAGTTCACGGATGGCTAATGAAAGGCTGTCAAAAATATGCGTTCAGCTGCAAAAATAAACAGATACAATGAATTCACTAGTATTTGGGTCCCAATAAAGAGTCTTGAAAAAGTGACATGTTGGGAACAAATCAGAACAACCTGTTTAACTTTTGTATACTTGTAAAAAAGAGCCTGGTGAGTCACTCCTACTCACTACCTCTTTGGGCTGAGAGCTGATTGGCTGAGTAAAGATCGTCCTCTTTTTTTTGTCTGAAAAAGCTGATCTAAAGATGTGACAGACGTAAAAAACAAAAACATGGATGTGAAAGCTATAATGATAAAACTGTTTTCAGAGTGAAGAACAAGTCACATGGTTTGTAGTATTATTAACCCAAACCATAAATCATTTAAGAAATATTAACTCAAGCCATATTCGGACAGTGTTTTGACAGATTTGTCCGTGGGAGTAGTCGACCCTGGACGTACTGTGAAAAAGCAGTTCTCACAGTTAAACGGAAGGAGATAAAAGTGCAGGACCTAAAAATGTCCAGCGACCGCCGCGTTCAAAGTGTGAAGGATGAATATGTATGAGGCAAGTGTTCAGGACTGACCTTTAGGAACCTGAAAGCTGAGGACAAGACAAAACTTACTGAAACCAGCATCCCAACATGACAGTTTGACAAGCAGGACTTCTACATCATTATTTCTTGTTTTTGATCATAAGAATGCACAAAAACAAAAATGAATCAATTTGTAGATAATTTAATCATGGGGTGGACAAGTTTTTATTTCTTTCCCACTTAATATCGAGCTGAAAATTTTCAAATAGAAATAAATATGTAAATAGACATTGAAATTGTAAATATACCAACACATGGTGAAACTATCGCAAACACTGTTGCTTGATTGTATATATACACACATATCTGCATGTATACGCTGTAAGCACTGTAGGCAACATTACAATGTAAAAAAGTATCTCCATAAACTGGGCAATGTAAATATTTTAAATCATTAAGAATGTAGAATTTATGCTCGAATCAATTCACAAAATAAAATCAAGATTAACATTGTTAATAAAAAGTACAGTTTTAGCATGTACTTAATAGTGCTAATACTAGTAATTTATAAAAAGTAATTAAGTTACTGAATCTCTCCCTTGTGAGATCAATTATGTAATTGATTATCTCAATAAATCTGGTAAAAAACAAACATTTTCTCAAAATGCCATTTGTTTGAATGAAAACAGTCAAAATGACGGCTCTGGAAGTTCTAGTTGTTACAAAAATATGGGAATCTAAGTGATAATCACTTGGAAATATATGTTATATGTTTGTGTTTAATTGAAAGTGACCTGTAGATAGTGTACCAGTGTGTAGATATGTAGTGTACCAGTGTGTAGAGATGTAAAGTACCAGTATGCAGATGTGTGTAGATACAATGCCTTGCAAAAGTATGTTTTTATTGTGCAAAAGTATTCAATAAAAAAAAGACAACATCTTCAAAGTTGTTGGCATGTTCTGTAAATTAACTGATGCAAATCCTCAAACAATCCATGTTAATTTCAGGTTGTGAGGCAACAAAACACTCAAAATGCCAAGGGGGTGAATACTTTTTCAAGGCACTGTATATGTTTTATCAATGTGAGAGGATCCCCCATGAGCCATTGCGGTTCCAGCGTCAAGTTCGCGGCATTAACCTGCACAAAACGGAGCATCATCGGCAGCGGCATGAAGACAAGAAGCATTTTAAATCTGTGTGGTTGTAGCAGTTTGAGATGAATCTAGACTCGTGTTGTTGACTCTGGCTTTTTGTGTGTGCACATTTTCACTTTGGCCCGTGCAAGCAAAAAGTTTAGGCAATCCCTGTTATTGTTTGGTTCGTTTGAAGCACTGGTTTTTACGTGTATCGTTTACTTGTGATTGTAAAAGTAATTCTAATTGTTCAGTAGCTATTTATGTCTATTGTAAAAGATGAAGAATGCATGTTGCGCTCTGATTTTCTCACACAATATTTAAACAAAACTCTATCTTTTTCTTGGGACAAACTCCAACTCCATTTTTAACAGTGTAGCTATAATACAAATCCTAAATGTACAACAAAAAAGTCAGTAAAAATGGAAAAAGATCCAAACAAGATAAACATGCTTACATTCAAATCAATTAAAAAAATACAATTAAATCATATAATATTGATGCAATGACTGTTTTTTAGAAGAAAACTAGCAAGAACTAAAGTATATAAATCTAACAATGATCTCTTATCATTAATATAAATTCTGCATTCATGATTTTAACAAGTTCCAAGTCGAGTAAAGTTGCAACAGGACAGGCCTCAGACTGAAATACCCAGAAAGAACATATTGTGTGATATTACGACATACAGTGAGATGAGAAAAAGTTAGCGCATGTTCAGATGTTAAATGTCACAGGAAAGTTAGAGATTGTTCTTGCGAAGGAATAAAAATAGCCCTAGGTGAAAATCACTTCAAGCGCGAATGTGTTTCACTCACACGTGGTTCATGGCAAGACGCTGCATCTGTTTTATTCCCTGCCTATTTTGACTTTTTCACTTGCCGATCAGAATTGTTGTAATACTGGTAACTACTAATAACTGGTTATTACTACTACTTTACTCCACATGTGCACTGAAATAAGTTATAATATACATATAAACAACCCCCCCGCTGAAACACCAAGGAGCATTGGCCATCTTCCTGTGGACCCACCCCTTGCCGGAGGATCAGCGAGGGGCCGGTGTTGTGAGCATTGGGTGGCAATCGATAGT